TTGTATCTTGGGAAGCTTGTAAAGTGCAATTTGAAAAATCTGCGATATTAATTGATTCTTCCATAGTTGTATTCTGTACAGAAGAGAGGTATCGAATAATTTTTCTGAAACTCCACTATCTGCATTCTGAAAATAATAGAAGTTAATATAGGTATATAAAGTGTTAACAAGTTTATAAAGCTTTATTTTCATTAAAAATCAATTAAAAAATTTTAAACGCACTTCAATTTGTGATTCTGTTGCAGGTTGTTTTTTTTTGCACATTTTCCAGAATTCGAATAGTTTTTTATATTCTATATTTCCTTGCCATTCATTATCTTTATTTTTCTTAAATTTATCGATGATGTTTTTATCCAAATTTTCTGTCATAAAATTTAAGACAATTTTAGCTTTATCGTGATGAGCTTTATTGTCTGATATTTCNTGAATATTTGGATTTTGATTGTTTTGTATAATTTTGCTATAATCAACAGCATTTGCATTGAGTGGATATAAACCGCAAATTCGAAACCCATTTTGTAGGCACTTAGATATCTGAACAGTGTCTAAAGCATTATTTAACAATAATCCAAAGTCTTCCTTCGTCACTTCCTTCGTTTTCCAAATCATTTTTATAGGCTTGAATACTGACACATCTATTGGCTGAAGAATATGTGTTGCATTGGGATACTAAGCAATTAGCTCTATTCCATGTGTGGTGCAAAAATCGCTCAAATGTTTTGTCAAATGTGAAGTATGACCATCCAAATAAAGTATTATTGGAAAAGGTATTCCGCTTTGGATAAGCCATGGATGGAATACATTTGTAATATATTCATAAAAATTGGCTGCGACCATCCATCCGTTATCTGATCTGCCACAGCTCCAACCATCTGGCAATTTTGATGCTATATAATTTGGTATCCGCTTGTAAAAGAATAGTACCAAAGGTGGAGCTAGTATACCAGCTGCATTACCAGTAAAAAGAACNGTGACGTTTTCTTTCTCATTATTACCAACTATCTTGTATACATTTTTTTGCCCTTTTTCTGCCAATACAGATGAATCTTTAGGATTAAGTAGAAAAGCCGCTTCGTCACAATTGAAAATTCTTTCGGATGCAATATTTGATAGTTCTTTAGAATTTAAATAATTAGTGACTTCATCGAACCAATTTCTNAGAGCACTTTCAGTAACTTCAGTTCGACGAAATGTCAAATTTTCAGTCATTCTTTTTGCAACGTTTTGATGTCGTTGCATAAAACCTTGGTACCAATGACGTCCAGGCCGATCATTGANAAATGTATTTTTTCTTTGCAGAGATTTAATAAGCATTTAAACACTATCTAATAATTGGTTTTTAGTTACCGGAAAACCTTTTCGACTTAAATAAAATATCCAGTCTACTAATGTTTTTTNTTCTTTATTTGAAAGAACTGTTGGTGGTCCAGGCTTCTTTTCTGCNTACAATTTCTTTTTTTTTGCGTCTAAAGTTGTACGAGGAATATTAAATTTCTTGCTGGCAGCATTTATACTCATACCTGCATTTATTGCGGTTACTGCCTCTTGTACAGCATCTGTGGTGTACAAACACCTTTTTTTCGGATGTTTTCCACTCATATTGTTACTAATAAAAACAATAAATATACAAAAATAATAGTTAGTAGCAAATATATATATATATATATATATATGTAATGTATATAACAATTATAATGTATATGACAAGTATTTTACTTATATTGAGTTTGATACGTACCTAATTAGAATTCTATTTTCCATCAGGTGTCACTTTACAGCACAGACAAAACACAGGTTATGTTCATTTTGTCACATGCTAATGTAATGCCACTAATACGCTCATTTTGCGATTTATGTCCGTAATACTGTTAACAGTATTAGGAACAATATCAAAAAAATAAACGTATTACTGGCATTAATAATTATATTGTAAAAATTGATAATTTCTTCAATTTTTTGCTTTTTTTACTTAATTTTAACTTTATATTATTTAAAAATTGTTTTTAAATATGACATATTATTTAATTTTTGCTTATAATCAATCATTTTTGTAGATACCTTTTATCTAGTTTCTTAGTACAAATGGACATGATCACGGCAAAAAGCGTGCTTATCAAACTTTAANCTATTCTCCAAATTAGTACTTTTGCTTTACTTCTTATTTATTTATTATAACAATAATAGTATTTCCTAACAATTTTTTTGCAATTTATTGAAATAACATAATATGTAATTTTCATACATAAAAATTTGTTTCAATTTCAATTGACAGTATTAGGGACATTGTCAGTAATTGGGTCTTTTACCCTACTACTATTAATGCCCGACCGTAACCATAAGCTCAGGACGTAACACACTTATTCTGCCGCAATCAAATATCGATTGTAAGTTGCGCTGATCTTTGCAGCATACGCAGGTTTGGACAATTATTTTGCTGCGACTGAGTATTTATTGTCCGCCATGCCAGTCACCATGGTGTACGCGCGCCCGGACAATTCTTTTACAGCGGCCATTTATTGTCCGTTGCCTCCGCCGTTGCACATACGCGCTAGCACGTTCCAGCGTATCCATATCGTCTCGCGGTCATCCTAGAGCAATTACCTTTTGCTACATTGACATGCGACTCGTTGCCGTTTGTAACAACTGACTATTATATGGCGAGTTGATTATATTTAAATTAGTTACTGCCAAACGTTATACTAAATTGTTATCTATCTTGTTTTATTTTATATCTAATTGTGTGTTATTTACTAAGCTTCTCTGCCTTAAAACAATACCATCTCCTGAGCTCACGCTTTTCCGTATTGAAAATTAATAAAACTGAGGTGCCGACCCTACGGGCCGTTACGTCTGAATATACTTTAGTGTCATTATTGAAGTAGAGTAATAGGAACGGTGTGAGAAATTGTGCTTGGCACTTAACTAGATAAAGTCGGTGAGTACATTTTTATTTAAATATCAAAAGAACATGCCAAAGGTGTGCTGCACTTTTGCAATAAAATCTTACGCGAGGTGCGCGTCACGAATGAAGTGCAGTGTTATAAGCAAAACAAAAGTCTCGCAAGTGGACATCCCACTCGCGATGATCCCTATCTAAAATACTACAATCATCTTTCAGAATTCTATTCACTCTTTCTACGGGATTTGCCTGTGGTGATAAGACGGCACAGTGTGTTTTGATACAATGAGATTCGGCAAACTTTTTTAATGTTCGGTTTACAAACTTAATTCCATTGTCTGTCAATAAAAATTGCAAAGTTCCACAGCGGAAAATAACTACTAGCTCTTCCAGAGCTTCCAAAATGTTTTTGCCATTGGCTGCTCTTAGAGCACGGCATTCAACCCACTTAGCAAATATATCCCGAATCACAAGAATGTATGCAAATCCTGCTTTGCTATGCAGCATGGACCCATGGTACGGCAGCGACAATTATCCAGGGACCCTTGGCAATCCAATGTCCTATCAAACCGGCCGGACTGACTTGCTCTACTTTAATCTGCTGACATGTTAAACAAAACTTCACGTATGCAGTCACCTCTCTAAACATATTTGGGGTGATACTCTATTGACCACAGTACGATTCGACACCGTTCGATTCGACACAGATTTATTCGACACCAAATTATTCGACACCGTACAATTCGACACCAGATTATTCGACACCGTA